AATAAATAAATAAGTAAATAAATAAATAATGCGTTCTCGCATAATGAAAAAGAAAGACAGTCCTCATACATACATCGATTTGTTGACACGATAGCGCAGATAACAGAGAGAAAATCAAACGCCTCAACACAACAAAATGTATTTGGCACAATATCGAGACAAAAACAAAGGATAGAGTCTACATGTCACCTTGATATCGTTTCGAGAAAAATATGAACTCATAACTCTGATTTAAAGCAATCCAGCCATTTCGTTATACATGTATAATACTATGATATGTTCTTTTCCCTGACGTCTTTTTTTCAGCAAAATGTGACTTAGGCCCTTTATTTCTCTTACATCGTCAATTGTGAAATGACCTTGACTTTTGATTTGTTACTCACTTCATAGAGATGCTCTCCTCGCTCTTTCTTTTTCTTCCGGAACTTCTGAGCGGCCCTTCTGTTCTGTTCCCTCCTTCTGTCTCTCTTCTCCACCTCGTCCGGGCGGGGCTGTGGAGAGATGGAAATGCAGAAGAAACTTTACAATGGAATTTTGTGTGGATGTGTGTGAGGTGAGAGGTGGAGACAGACAATTAGACAGATAGGCAAGCAGGCAGGCAGGCAGGCAGACAGACAGACAGGCAGACAGACAGACAGACCAGACAGACAGCTGTCAGACAGACAAACAGACAGACAGAGAGATAGAGAGAGTTGGGGAGTGAGAGGAGAAGAATCCTTTATGTCTGACTAGCCTCTGAAATCAGGAGATGTTCCAAACAGTAACAGGAACATTTGGTGTTTGTACGCAAACAAAGTATCAGTGTAATATATACATATTTATATCTAAACATGAGTAAATAACGAAACAAAATCAAGGAGACGAAATAAAGGCCATCCGTTCTGAAACTTTTGGAAAAAGAAAGCACTAATATGATTGTTGAATCTAATACGATGAGCCGTGCAAACTCGTTCACAAGCTGGGGGAATATGACACCAAATGCAGCTCACAAAAAATACACCTGAAACCCGAAGCAATGAAAAGTAATGTTGAAGATTATGGAAACATGAACGACTAATTTAGTATACTAAGCAGTTCTTATGAAAAAAGGAAAATCAGACTACAGCCAGACCATAACAAAATAAGGAATATTTTATGTCAAGGTAACAGAATCATAATATAGAGATTTTTGTCACTAAGCAACGGTAAGCATGAAATAACGTTATAACAACAACTTTGGGCGGTACGTTCGGAAAGCCCTACTAGTCACAGAGCATAGTACACCACAGACATCGGTACGAGAGTAAAAATGCAAGTTATCTGGAAATAACAAAACGTCTCCAGTCCCCTCATAAGAAATAATCACACACAAACGAATACCAACACCACCCTCTCCCCTTTCCTTGAAATTACAAACAAAAAAACCCCTCTCTCTACCCCACCACCAGATAGTTATAGACATTACAATGAAAGGCGCGTAGACTTTGTAAACCGAACGGACGCATCCTTTTTGAAGCGTTCTAAAATTCCACAGAATACTACAGCTATCGCTTTCACTACTTTCAGTCGTCATGCAGGATAAAGGGAGCGTCAAGGAGGTCAAAAAGTTCAAAATGTTGAATCATGGTGAGAACTTTTCTGGGATCAAGGAAAAGAAGGGGTGAGAGAAGTCTTAAAAAGCTTGCGGAGGTCGACTTTCTTCGATAAAAGTATATTATTTCGACACTCTCCACCCCACCCCCTCAATTCTTGTTTAGATTGAGTTTAAAGCACCTTTTGAGAATGACGTCACAGCCATCTAAAGTTAACCTTCACCGAAATCTTGGAGCTCCCGGATGTGCGCACTTAAAAATTAGGTCAACCTAGTTCCCAGTGACACTTTTACCTTTTTTCTTTAAAAATTCTAATTAATCGGTGTTTCCAAACATGAAAATCGGTTGAGTTTATTGTAAGTGGGCCTACTTCACAAAGATACGTAATTTTACTCATTTTGTGTCAACGGGGACATTGACATTTTGGTACCAATTCCACCTCGAATCCTCCCAAGTTCCTCATTTTGGTTTGCCTACCCTTTTTACAACGCCTTCAAAGTCTGAGTCAAAGGGTATAGTAGCCGCAGTAAACACGTTTCGGTTCGGAAAATGGGTTTGGACGAAACGACATACACATGTAGTAAAAAAAAAATAGCCCCCCGAATTCGACCTGAACTGACTCAAATTCGGCTGACAGATATTCGCACAAATGAGCGTACCCTCTTTTATGTCAGACAATTCCATGAATTAATCAAACCGTTGGGTTTTGATCAGAGCACCACTGCGGTTCAATAAAGACGACATAATTACTTGCAAAGCGAGTCATTTGCACCGAGTTACCTAATTTGCTTTCACTGCACCTAGTGACCTGACTCGCTTTCAAAGGGTGCTATTTCATTAGTCTCTTGTTTACAGCACCATCAGTGTCTTATATGCCCTTTCTTTGGGGTCAAATTCATCAAATAGAAGCCTTGAAGCGGAGTAGCAATAGAAATACAGTTTACGATCAAGAACAAAGTAGAACTTACAGTTCATTTTGTTTTTCCATGTGTCCGCCGTGAAACGACAGTCGCATGAAGTTGCGTATTGGAGTATTTGACTTCCGATATTTGAATAAATTGCATTCATATTAAATACTTTCATCGCAAATAAAACCACCACCTGTTTATTAATACTGAGTCATAAACTTCATCTAAACTTCAAAGTGTCGTAAGATGTCCTTTTAATTTTCTTGG